TGGTCTCTCCCCTGATGCTTCGGCTAGAACATTTTCTTGCGTAATTCGTACACCCAAGGGCAGAAGGATTTAATCGCCGTCAGGTCCGAAGTCCATACGCCGCCTCAGCTCTACGGATGTCTCGGGGGTATGGCAAATTTGAATCGTTTTTTTAAATTTTATCTTTATTTTTTATTTTTATTTTTTGATTTTTTTAATGGATTGATTCGAATCCCATCTTATCCATATAAGATTTAAAATAAAAAAAACAACAAAAAAACAAAAAAAACAAAACAAACAAAAAAACAAAACAAAAACAAAAACAAAACAAAACAAAAACAAAAACAAACCAATCCATATAACCCATATTTTTAAAAAAAAATCCATTTGTTATTAAATTCCTTTTAGTGAAAAAAGAATTATTCCTAGCTACGAAGACCTCAAAATGGTAGGTCAGTCATACTAATTTTTAGCCTACCTTGATAATGTCATTCTCCTTATAGTCTGTCCATGTGGGATCATCAGCCCTATACGCCAGCGAGTACTTGGTAACCCACTGGGTATGCCAATCAGCCGGTACTCTACCTTGCGTGGCCACCTTGGTTAGTTTGTACATTCTACCGAGGTCAATCTGAATGTATTCTCCCACCATTTTTTGGCCTGCCGTCCAAGATCCTTGGTGCTCTAAGGTTGCTTCTAGGTTCAAGCGAGCAAGCCATGGGTAGAATCTTTTGTCAAAGTAAGATGAGGCGGTGATTTGAGAGTTTTGAATCCTTCCATCTTCCATCCCCAGAGGAGATTCACATGCTAAAAGAAACAGTAAAGAGAGATAACAAATAAATGCGTAGGAAAAGCACGACACGACTCGACACGGCTTGGTATGGTACACTCACCACTGCAGTTGTAAATATCCATCGAAGGTAAAGGTGTACATAACTGGTTCGCTGAACAAGAACTAGACGCGCAGGGATTCTGAGACCGAAGGATAAAAGAAAATGTAGTCATGAAAACAAACGACAAAAAAAGCGACTCATATTTCTAATAAGCGTTTGAAAGTAAGTTTTATCTCTAATAATAGTCAGCCTCTTTAACTTGAGTGTTAGTAATATCATTGCTCTTTCAAAAAGCCCGTGTCATTCGCTTGAGAACTTATTTTTTATGTTTGAGTTGTATCAATATTCATGTGACTTGTGATGTGCAACCGCTAAGCAAATGACACGTGGTCTGCTTAATATAACTAACTAGTATAATTTTTTTTGAATGAACCTATCACGTGTATATTGTAACGATTTTACCAACCTTGATTGGACAGTATTCAGAGCCCTCCTTTTGTTGCACGTGGCCAGGCCGGGTTACGTTGTCAGCATCGCTCAGCTCACACGATCTTAGCAATCCTTGTATTGGTCCCAGGTTGTACGAGACACATTCGTGTTCAATGAAACATTTGTGCTGGCAGAACGCTAAACCTGGTGCAGTGACTGTGAAATTCTTGATGACGTGACCAACGAGGGCTTTGTCGGTCACGCACCGAAGAAATTCAAGGATTCTGCAACCTGTGTGGGGTAATAAGAGGGTGAAGATGCATGGAGTTTTACAATAATTGATATTGGCCTAAAAATATTACTTATTGACAATAATAACTAGTAAAATAAGTACTTAACAGTTAACTGATATTTCATTATTATTATTATTATTATTATTATTATTNTGCAGCCATAATGAGAGAGGAGAATCCCCTTGTCTGCAGCTCTTTCTTCAAACTGTTGAACAGCTCTCATTATGGGGTCCGGACTCTCGTAAAGTTTGACAGCAGCCTTGATCTTGATCAGCTTATACTCTTGTTCAATGGATCGCAGTCCTCGTCCTCCTTTCTCTCTAGGTAGATATAATACAGCTGTTGAGTTATTATTATTATTATTATTATTATTATTATTATTATTATTATTATTATTATTATATAAAACTTTTATTATTTTATTATCCGATTATGGTCAGTAGACAAAATAATATCTCAGGAAAAAGCCTGACATGAGTACAAATATCCCTTAACAGTTAACTGATATTTCATTATTATTATTATTATTATTATTATTATTATTATTTATTATTATTATTTATTATTATTTACTATTATTATTATTAATGTTGTTGTTGTTGTCGTTATTATTATTATTATTATTATTATTATTAATTCATCAAACTTATATTGTCGTCTGCGCGGGTTCCCTGTGATTTTTTAAAACGTTTTGGGCTTTCTTTGTTAAAGGCCAGGTCTCTAGGCTAAGTTCAAGAGGGTCGAGCAAGTGTTTCTTCGCCATAATATCTAGACGTTTTCATCCATATTTTCGACATTTTAAAGCGTCAAATGGTGGAAAATTCACCATAAAGAAATCTATGAAACCTTGAAACCTTGAGGTAAGTCTATCAAAAATGTATATGGCTTTGAAGACCACGCGAACGACAATTTTATTCATGGAAAAGCTTGCCAAGTTTGCCATGGCAATTAAAAACTCTGGAGTTGTGAAACAGCGGGTTTTCCTTATCAGTGGTACGAAAGCCTGGGCTTTTCCAAGGATTGTGGCAGATTCGTGTTCTTGTCGGTAAACAAAATGTTCAAGATAACGAAATATGTATTCCTATGCGCCGATTGTTCTGTTGTTGTGGTTGTTGTTGCTGTCTCTTCATCCTTTCTACGCATGTGAGTTTTTTGCGCACCGGCTCATCGTGACTGGGCAAAACAACTTTTTTTAACTTCTTCAAACACTTGGAAAAAAACAAATTGGGTGAGTTCTATTTTTTTCCACGAATAGAATGGTCGAAAAAATATGTGTCAAGGAAAGTACTGCAGTGGCTAAGCTGATTGAATGAGCAGAGCCGTAGTTAGACCCTGTGACCAAGGCCATACCCTAGTATCCCATTAGTTACCCCATCTTCTGTATAATGAATTATTACATCATATCATGCAAAAATAATTACGAATTCGATGACACATTAAATTCGATTTGTAAACAAATATTCCATATCTGATAGCTAGTCCAAAATGATAGTCGTATAAAAATTTATTTTTTTCCTATATATTTTGATAGATAGTTTTGTTGGATATTGTGACCGAGTTTTTGATTTTGACCAAATTTTGAAGAGAAATTTAAAAATACATATTAAAGCTCAGAAATAAGTTCTGGTCCAAAAACATTTTTTCAGACCGTCACTAGATAGTGGAGTGCGACTTTGTAAACTTGAGTTTATAGCCCTCATTCCTCTGCTCTTAAGCATAGACAAGAGAATATTAAGTGGCATAGACTATAGAGCTGATGATTTAAGACTTCAACTCAGGCGATATTAATGTGTCAAAGACATCGTTTGAAATATCAAATTTCGGCTGAAACAATCTCTGGGCTCAAAGAAGTAAGGGCACAGATTACTCCCGGTACAGATTGTACCCTGAAACAACCTCTGTGTTGACCAATGTCAGGGTACGGCTAACTCTCAGATCGAACCCTTATTACAACCTCTGGGTTGACCGAATTCAGCGTACGGCTAACTCACAACAAAACCAACCCTGAAACAACCTCTGGGCTGATCTAAGTCAGGACACGACTAACTCAGATTGAGCCCTGATACAACCTCTGTGATAAAAGTTAGGGCACGGCTAACTCACAGATCCAACCCTGAAACTACCTCTGGGATGATCTAAGTCAGGGCACGACTAACCCACAGAACCAACCCCTGAAACAACCTCTGGGATGATCTATGTCAGGGCATGGCTAATTTACAGATTGAACCCTGATACAAACTCTGGGATGATCAAAGTCAGGGCACGACTAATTTACAGATTGGACTCTGAAACAACCTTAGGAAAATTAGCGTCTTAAATACGCTTGTGCGAAGGGAGAAAAACCGTAGCTGACGGCATCAAAACACTCAAATCAATGGTAGAGACCAGAAAACGAACCCGGCCCTCAGAACGCAGTGGAAACAATTGAATGTCCTATCACTACACCAAACCATGTTCTTTTAACAGGGTATTGCTTTATGAGGGTTTTCATCGGCTTCTACAGTTTTCCCGCCTTGCTAAATAAACTATTCTAAATCACAATTTAATGGGTAAAGAGCCCTCTATGCAATCAATATTAAATTCCCATAAATATATAGATAGCATTCAAAAATAGTACTACCTTGAATAGGCACGRTGAGTGACAGAAAGATGTGAAAAAACGACACTTTGATCTGCATGGTGATGCCTAGATTCGTCTTTCAGATTTGGTATGCATTATCGCTCAACCTAAATTCTGAGACTCATGAATAGTTAAGTCATGAAAGATAACTAAAGAAAACAAGTTCAACCCAACTTGATAATCATAAAGGTTTAAAATTTGGAAATACTTWAAAAATATAAACTATATTTAGTTTAGTTTAGTTTATTGGAATTCGTCACATATAACATACAGTAAGTACAGTGGGCCTCAAATGGAAGAAACAAGAAAAAATAACAACAATAGTAATAATATAACCCTTGATAAAAGTTGACTGGAAAGAAAACAGGGCGGTAACCCCAATTGAAATTCGATTCCTTATATTAGTCATTTTTACATCTATTTTTTTAGCGTTCTATAAATGTCAAGAATTTTTTTTTCCTTTTTAATCCTACATTGTTTAAAACATCCATAAAATTTAAACCGTTTTTTGATGGTTAATAATTGATGAAATGGCGAAAATTTTTAGCACAAAAAATTTGAATGAAAAAGACACAATATAGTTGTTTAGCTTTTTAATCTGCTAATGATGACCTCAGTCTTAATTCCAAACTCACAGGGCAGAAGATTAATTACAATAGCTGGAAATAGCATGTTGAAATTGATAAAACTAGGATTCGTGCATAATCAGAATTAAACGAAGGCTTCGAAATAATATTCACTTGCCTTAACGGCTATGATTTTAAAATCGCTACTACTCGCCTAATTCTCATAAACATAAATCCAAACCTTTCAAGGCAACAACAACAACAACAAAAAAAAATTAAAGAATAGATCGTTTAACATAAACAACGATTTTATTTATTTTTTCTAAACTTAGAGAAGACTTAAAAAGTCTGTCACGTGATGGTTTAACAGCACTGTTTACTGTTTGCGATCGCTGCTGCAAAACGTTTCAGAATTTCTTCAGTGAAGAGTCTATTTTTTCCCTTAAAGAATACAAGAATAGTAGTCAATCAGAATCCTTCCGGTCAAATCTGAGTGGCAAGATTTTGCTTGTCTAAAAATAACAATCCCAGCCGCACGCGTCCAGCCGTGAAGGTCTGTGCAAGGTCTGAACACTGTGCAATTTTCTCAGCAACTTGTCTGACAACTGTTGCGAGACAAGTCGCTGAGAAAATTGCACAGTGTAACAGGGATTACCTCGCAATTTTTTTGTTTCCCGTAGCGTTGCACGAAGTAGAACTCATTTCTACTTTTCGCAGCGGATTGCAGCAACCGGCAGTGTACAGTGTTTCACCCCTCCAACAACTTTTCTCGCAATTTAAAGGCATGAATTTCGTGTCAAATATTATTGCGAGTTCTCCCTAGCCTACCCAGCCCAAAAAATGCTGCAAGTTGCTGAGATCTCATTGCAGTGTAACACCTCAAGTTAATCAAATCTAGCTTCAGTACAGTAAAATTTATTTTACTTGCGCCCTTGTGCAAACGAAATGTTAGCTATATTAATCTTTTTTTTTTGAGCTTTTGTAAAGATCAAAACGATATTGATAAAGACCACAAATGTATTATAAATTGTATTTCATTTTTGAACAAAAGTCTGCAACAATGAGTTCTTGCATTGAATAGTATCAACTTGCAAATAATGCTGGAATAGACCATTTTCGATTTTGTGCAGAATAATCATGTGTTCAAGTCAAGGTCCTTGGAGTTTCAAAGTGTTTGTATTGTTGTAGTTGTGAATTGTTTACTTTAGCGTTGGTATTTGTGAATATTTAAACACTCATACGAGGGTAACCCTGAGTAAATGAGTGTGTAATCAAGGAACACAGCGGTAATTTGGAATTCGAAAAGGGTATATTCTTTTAAAGAACCCAAAAAGTGCTGCGAAAGTCAAAGACAAGTATAATACTAAAGAAACTACAAATGGAATTCTGCTAATCGTTGATTGGTATATAAAGTCTTGAGTGATTTATTTATTTGAGCTACCGAAAACAGGATATGAACCTAGCAACAGAATTAACCAAGGCTCGTCGCGTGGAAAAGTTCTTATCCTACAAGGGTTCAGTGCTTCAAGCTCTAGTTGGAATTGAAATCAAAAGTGTCTTCTAAACAGAATATCCACTCTCCTGCCTTACCGTGGCCAGATTCCGGTAATAAAACCAATAGGCGTTGATGAATATTACATAAGCCAGAGGGAAGACAATACGACAAAGTTTATCGATGTAGTGGTATCTTGGATAACCATTGTTGGCGGCGTCCCAAGAGAATCCGTTCATGTCATACATCAGCATTGGATCACTTGGCTTGTGCTCGCATCTGCTGTTCCTTTTTACATCCTTTTCTTCATTGCTTTCGCCGGTGTTGCAAATCTTTTTGAGGAAACCAACCTTGAATGGGCATCTTGGGTTGGTATTCAAGACCGCAACGTATTCAATCAGGGCAAGAAAGATGAACGTGAAGTTTCCCAACAGAAAAACATCAATGGCTTTTAGATAGCTGACTTTTGGCATCTGCGCATTTACTGTACCGGACAATAGAAGTGTGGACAGGATTGTAGTGATGCTGAGAGATATGCGTGCTGGGATAGCATCCGGGACTATCCAGAAGGAGCACCACGAAAGAATGACCAGAATGACGGCGGGTGTTACTATGGTGATGATGAAGTATTCCAAGCGACGTTTGAAGGTGAACGTTGCAAGAAGCTGAGAAAAGTTGCCTGGCAAAAAGCAAAGATTTTAGTTGAATGCATTTTTTTAATTGTCAAAACTGCAAATTCGTGAGAGGACGGGAGGGCAGCGGAAGGGGAATGAATATATTCTGTAAATATTGACCTCCTTTTAAAAAACTGTTCAAATTTCCGGGTCTCATCTCATCAAGTTGCGGATACGAAAATTTCCGGATACGTCTGAACGGAGCCTTAAATGTCAGGGGCCCGGATTTCCCATCCATATCCCCTTCAATTAGTAATGAATGGCCCCTTACAAAATTATTTTTATTTTTATCTATTTTTCCTCACCAGATATCTTGTCTTCGTCTATTCGTTCTGTTCTGGATAGAAGGAGCACGAACTGGGCAGTCTCTTTGGACATTATTTCAATCCCTTTTGTCCCTCGTTTTGTCCATCGATAGAAAACATCATCTTTTGTATACGCATCTAATAAGATCGATTATGTATGTTAGTAAATGTTGGGGTGTGTGTACGATATTATTTGGAAAGTTTTGGAAAAAAAATTGCATGCGTGCGCAGGAGAAATCGCATAATGACAGCAGCAACAGGCAGACAAACAGACAGACAGACAGGCAGACAGACAAGCAGACAGATATGCAGACAGACAGGCACACGCAGGCAGACAGATAGACAGTCAGGCAGACAGGCAGACAGTCAGAAAGACAGACAGACAGACAGGCAGACAGACAGACAAGCAGACAGACATGTAGACAGACAGACAGACAAGCAGACAGACAGGCAGACAGACAAGCAGACAGACATGCAGACAGACAGGCACACGCAGGCAGACAGAGGGACAGACAGACAGGCAGACAAATTGACAGGGAATAAGGCAGAAAGTCATACAAACAGAAAACAGACTTTAAATTCATGATCAACTTACAGCTTTCGAGGAGGAATGGGCACTTTTGGGTATCCATTGGGTAGAGAAAAAGATTCATGTAGCACTGAAGAGTGACCGTCAACCTGATAAAAGGAACATATTGATATCATCAACGCTAACAAACTTAAAATAAGAATGATTTATTTCCAAGTCATTTTCAGAGAAGGAGTTCCGTCTCCTAAGCGCCTGTTGTTCACCAGGCAATATATATATCTGTGAAGATTTTTGTTGAGCATTAAAAAAAACTTAAAACTTGTTATCGCGCCTTGTCAAGGTGCCTCTGGCAGCTGATATACAGTCTGTGTATGACACCAGAGCACAGCTCTAACTAGACATTTTGAATTAGTTAGGGTCGATTTGAGTGTGCCGTTGTGCTGCGGGCTGGAAAGTATTGTTACTAATATCTCAATGAAACTATAATGATGCCCCCTTTTTTCATTTTCCAGCTTACCTGGTGCTGTAATAAACATCGCCATTGGGATAGATTATTATCCGCGAATTGTCCTTGGTCACCCTGTGGAAGCTGGATTTCATTGCGTTGATGAAGTACGTGTCTGGAATCCAGAACAATTTCCTGGCATCTTCCGCCATGGTGAAAGCCTTGGTGTAGTTGTGCTTGAAACGTGGGTCATGCCACCATTGACGGAAAAATATATCCATAGTATATTCCTACAGATGATGAAGAACAAGAGGTCGTAAGGGATAAGGATGGTCGTTAATAAAGGTACGTCACCGTTCGCTTTGAAAAGGGCTTTCTCAAAAATACATTCTATTTAGATTGCGTAAGAGCTATATTCCGTAACAGGTATATTTGGAAGGTTTTCAAAGATTGCTTTCGCATGCGTGTGCAGAAGGAATGATATCTTGACTAGCACCAGACAGGTAGACAATATTAATCCGCCATATTGAAAGGTAACCAAGCCTTTAGCTTTCCTCCCTGAGTCATACGCTACCCTAAGTGCAAAAAGGTCACTCGTGAAAACAGAGAACGTCGTGAGGCGCATGCGCCAACTAAAGACCGAGAAGGACTGGAGGCTAGAGAACAATAGTTAAGTCTCATTTTGAAGAACAAGTGTTTCCCTTCTTACCACATTATTATTAATATATTCGCCTAACTTTGGTAATTTAAAAACACTACCTACTAATTAGAGTAATACTTATGAAGTCCTTGTTGAATTATGGTCATTAAATGACGTCACAAAAAGTAGAAATTTGGAAACAGAACGAAATAAACATATTAGCATATTAGTGGAAACTGACCATATTTGCCTCGTCGATTTTGCCAAGTGAGACAACCTTGAACTCCACTTCAACCTCTACTGGTTTTCCTTGTAAAAAAGAAAGAAAAATGTAAATATAATCCAATGACTAGTTTTTTTTAGGGATAAACATGGGATAAAGGAAGGCAAGGCGCAATGTAGACTCCTCCGTCGTCATTAGTTTCAGTCCCAGATGCTCACGGGCCATAGCGGAGGAGCCTAGGCACAATGTAGCAGTTTAGGGATCTCGGATAACAGACAAAATAGTTTTAGGGAATATGAGATAAATAAATGAGTATAAAGGACCACGGAGATTGCGGGAATAAAATGAATAAGAAGAATCCCTCAGATGAGAATCCCTGATGGATTATTGTCTCGACTAATTCCAAAGCTATAAACATTCACAAATAAGCCATGCCCATTCTTCCGGTTGTCATTTACTCCGAACAGGTGCTAATAATCGTTTCTAGGTGGGTAGTTTCAGCCAAGCACCCCTATGTTGCGTCATGTCTTCATTTATTAACTCATGCACACGAGGTGGTACTAGCAAGCAAGATATTTTGGTGTTTTAAGATCAACACAAACTTACCTCCAGCATTGGGTCGCAGCTTTATGTCGTAGTCTTTTAGAACATTATTTATGAATGTGGATATTTTGAGCATTTCTCCTTTACTTGACTCATAGTCGATCAAACTAAGATAAAAATAAAATAGTTTCAGTCCCATTTTCATTCAAGGAATTTTAAAAAAATCTGCCATGTTATTTTTTCAGTCTCATTTCATTATATATGTGCGACAAAGCAAAACAATTTCGCGCCACTAAAAGGCGGTAAGAGCCTTGAAGTTTCCACTTGATGACAAATAAAAATAAAGTTTTAAAACTGGTATCTTGATGATTGAGTTAACGCAATCCATTATAAATAAGTCAACTAGACTTTGTGCGAGATTTGAACGAGTCGAAGAATTTTTTATTTTTTTATCACCGCCAAAACTGGTCGTGAGGAATCCGCGATATTTTTACTGGAATAGTTCTTTATTAAAAGCAAAGTAAGAACAGGTATTACTGGCTTTAAAATGGGTTTTTAGTACTACATGAGAATAGGAGTTTATTTTCTTTTCTTTCACCGACCATTAAATCGTTCAAGTGCTACCTGCGAATATGTCGAGAAAGATTTTAAACCGTCTGAATTAAAGAATATAACTTCAAGGTCCTCTAACCCTCTAAAATATTAAATTCAGTCCAAAATTTGCCTCAAAACCATATTGTTTTTTTCTTCCAGTTGTTTTTTTAGATTCAAGGTCATTGAAATGCTAGTTGGGGAACGAGAATCGAACTTCAAGGGTCGCACTTCAGCGATAATGGTTAGTGAGACCTTTTAATGAAGTAGCATATAATGTAAATTTTTTTGTGTTTTTGCTTCTGATTTATGCCTTGGGGAGAAATATGGCAAATAGAAGAAAAGGAAAGGAAAAAAGAAAGAAAAGAAAGTAAGAAAGAAGGAAAAAGAAAAGATAGAAAAAGGAAAGAGAGAATGGAGAGTTAGTTCTTAATTTATCAAAGTGAGATAAAGAGAGAAAGAACACGGAAAAAAAGAAAGAAAGAAGAATAAGGAAAGAGCAGGAAAAACGCCAAGTCAAGCGGCATAGCACCTTACCTTCCATTTGTGTTAGAACCACTGCTTATTGATTTCTTGACGCCAGATAAGGCAACCGAACAAAACAATATCACATTCCACATCATTACCAAACACTCGACCAACACAATGATCAATGACTTCTACTGGAAAGAACGGAAAAAGCGAATAAACATGTTGACTCTGTAGTGTGAGGAAAAGCTTACACATACACTATCACATGACATTAATTTAGGTTTCAGGTAATTAAGATTTCTTGTCAAGATGCCCAATATTCTTTAACAAACTCAAGCCAAACATCCTAGAGTGCATTCCTTGACAATTCATTTTATTTAAAACTATATGTTAACATCAAAATGTAAAAYGAAGAAAATATCTTCCGTATCAAAAATGAATTGAATAAAATAAAGATCTTAATTCTTGAATATTTCAAGACCTTAGTGCCTCACTGTACATAGTCGATCAAAAACAAAACATTCAAAGTTTTTAAATTTACAGTTTTTGTTTAAATTCTTAAATGACTTTTAAATATGCTTACGAACGAAGTGATACAAATTCTGTTTTTTTATATTAGGAAGCTTTTTTTCTTGAAGCTTGTATAGCAGACATTACCTCTCTTGTTTACCTCTCGTTGTGATAACCATATTCATTTCAAAGTGAATCAATCTTAAGATTCGTGTTGTTTTTATTCTAGATTACGTGATGTTACCTATTACTGTTATGCTATCATTATATATTTACGTTAATTTTCTTTTTATATCTTCGTAAAAATCGAAAAATTTGAAAAGTAAAATTTTGTATAAAACTGATTGTTTCAAGTGCTCGATCCTACTAGTTTAACTCAAGTATCGCCGAACGTGAAGCCATGAGAATTTCTCATTATTTAGCATTATTTACCACCTGTCCGAACTCGAATCTGAATGAATTTGTTTAACTACACTGTTATTTTTTAGGAGTTAATATAACTCCAAAAGTGGAATAGAAAAAAAGGTACAGGATAACTCCATAATTTCTCAATGTATTTTTTTATCCAAGCTCCAATTTTTAAAAAAGCCGATCCAAGAAAAGCAGAAAGGAAGAAATCAATAGTGTTAAACATCCATTTCTAAGTTTATCTTTCCTTTTCTAACAATCTCAAAATTCATGAATTTTTGAAATATTGTCGTTTTCGCATTCAAAGTACTAGTATTCCAAGTTTAAAATTATCTAATGCTTCTGGGTTTTTTTAACCTTTCGTATTGACACATGAATTAAACATTCGTTTTACAATAATTCTTAGATTCAAAGCCAAAGTCAGCAATGCTTATGTTACTTTTGAAGGAATTATTTATGTAGTTATCTTAACACGTATATAGAAGTACATACAATGAATGATATTTTCCTATTAAAAAAATCTTTTAGTATGGTACTTGAAATGTCAAGAAGGTTGATTCATACTCACCTAAGTTCTTCTTGGAAAATACCCTTGTTTAACTGATTCGAGAACTTTTAAAAACTTTGGTTTGTTTCATCGCCTGCGAAACACAGCTCAATCTGCTTTCAATTCGTTGTTAAACACGTTGGTAATCTGTATTAGTTTTAGTGGGTCCGCTTGTCTTAATTAACTTCAGATTGTAAACTCCACAGGAAATATTTTAAATTTGAAAGGAAAACAAAATAAATAACTGTTGGAAGGTAAGAAAGTGTTTCTTCACTTCCTCGTTTTCGCGCGTCTAAGGATTGAAAATTGTCGGCCCAAATTCTTGTGTCGCGAACTTCAGTTTCTCCAACTTCGGTTGGATCAGTATTCCCCAATATTCGCTGAGCCTGAGGATAATTGTTTTAGCAATTTTGATACAAGTGATTTTCATGAATAACGAAGAGAGATTATTTTCCTTTTTTTTCAAATTTTATTTATGTATGCAAGCGGCTCAAATCGACACACGAGCGTGCGCGTTTGCAGCATAAGACGAAAGTTGTGACCAATGAGCGCGCCAGGATGAACTCATTCCGAAACGACTTATTCCTAAATGAATTTTGCTCTGGTATCATGTAAACAAATACACAAAAAAAAATATGACAGTCGGGACAAACTCATTCCGCAACGAAACTCATTTCTGTATCACGGTAAACGACCCCTAAGCCCTTCAATAATAAAGTTAAACTCGTTTGAGAACACTACAAAATATATTGATCAAACAGTATATCCTATTGTAAACAATAAAGTCTAATCTATGCCACAAAAATCAGGAATATTCCATTAATTATATATTATCAATTGCTATCAATAGAAAACAAAGGTTTCGATATATCTCGGTGTAATTTTTCTCCCTTTCAGACCATAGGCAGCCCAAACAAGGTATTTTGCGAATTTTGAAAAAAAAGAAACTAAACGGCCTCAAATCGCGCTGAAACTTCGCCAGACGACAGAATAAGGTTCAAGCAACGACTGCAGTAAGTTTTGAAGGAAATAGTTGAGTGAAACATTTTATTATTATTTTCATCATAACTCCAGTGACATTCCCTTATAAACCATACACAGGAACCTTGTTTGGGCTGCCTGTTTTCAGACCAAGTGTCATCATAGAACATCACAGTCTTTGTTAACAGTTACACATGCTGAGGCACATAGATATGATTCTTTGTTTGATACAACTCAAATTGGAAAACGTGACGCCCCAGCTAAGAGGGTCTATTGCTTCATTTAGTCTATTTATTGTTAATACTTTTCCAA